TACCTCTTCTTGTTCAGGGTGAAGCTAAACGTAAATATATAAGAAATCGTCGATCTATTACATCTTTTGACGATTTTTATGAATTTTTGTTAACGAATTTTGATACGATTCCTTCAGTATCTAGTACCTCAAAACCTAGTTATGTTCATCATATACCTGAATCTGCGAAAAATGCTATATCTATCCCATGTAAAAATGATCGTTAAATTGACGATTTAACGACAATTAACGTTACCTTTTTGTCCGTAAAAACGCGTTAAAAATCGGCGTTTTAACGAACTTTCATGGGTTATTCGACGTTAACATCTGAAAAACGGAGAAAAACGCATGAAAGTTCGTTAAGACGCCGATTTTTAACGCGTTTTTACGGACAAAAAGGTAACGTTAATTTTCGTTAAATCGTCAATTTAACGATCATTTTTACATGGGATCAATAAATCAATTACTGAACTTAAATCGAATGCTGCTAGTTCGACTGATTCTAGTCAAATATCACAGTCATGCGTTTCTCGTTCTAATAATACCACTGGTAATGACACCACCAACGTAAATGGTGATGTGTCAGATCTTAAATCAACTCTAAAAAATTCGTCTAACGATACTTTACCATTAGATTCAGTTATACCTGATTTGTGTAAAGCAATTGTATCAGATTTTATTAAAAATCCGAAAATTTTTCGAGGTACTAAGGACAATGTGATGAAATGGGTGGGTGAAATTGAGCATCTGATGCAAATTGCACATGTGCCTGATTTTCATCGACTAGATTTGATTTCGTATTCTCTACGTGGAGATGCACTTCGGTGGTTTAAAAACAATAAATCTGCATTAATTACTTGGGGTATTTTTGTTCAAGAAATTTAAAAAGTATTTACATATTCATTTTTTGAAGAATTAGCCTTCAAAACTCTCGAGTCTTATACACAAGGTGAAAATCAGTCAATTCGTAACTTGTATAACGAAGTTTTAAAACTATGTAATGCTGCTGATTCCAGTATGAGTGAGTCGACAAAGCTCAAAAATTTATTGAATAAAGTAAAACCTAGTATACAACTTGAAGTACGTAAGCGAAAGCCAAAATCGACTGTAGAATTTCTCGAATTCGCAAAGGAAGTTGAAGAACTGCTACAACTTTCTAATCTTCAAATCGATACAAGTACTCATCGTAGTTCGAACCCGGTTAATAGTAATATACATACGAGTTCTTCGAGTTTTTTTCCATCGACTCGTTACAACAATTCTGATTATCACTATACTCCATCGTTACGAAGAAATTTCTGAAATAATGCCGTTTCAACATCATTTACCTATCATCCTTCTCGTTCATCTAAATTCGATAAAACACAAAATTATTATCCGTATTAGTACTCGCATTCAAATCAGTTTAATCCATCAACTAATAATAAAAGTAGTAATAATAATAATCGAAAACAAAACCGTACACACCAGTTTCAAAATAGTTCTAAACATAATGCTAAATCGAATTCACGTTCAGTCAATGCAGTATTTCCATCTAATTCATCAACTCAGAGCGATAATATCAATAGTTCCGATTCGTCTGTTGTATGTCAGATTTGCAATCAATTTGGGCATGACGCTTCGTCTTGTTCAAGTTTTCACTAGCGGAGTCAGCGACAGATGGTGTTGACTCCAGAAAGCAAATGAGAAATTCATCAAAATCAAGTCTAATTTTTAGCAATGCTTTAGTAAATAATCATAAAATAAAAATTTTAGTCGATACCGGAGAAACCAAAACATTCATTAATAATAGAATTTTACATCATGTAATACCTAAGAATGCCATACTAAAGCGACCGTATTCTTTTTTATTAGCCGATGATGTTGCACCTTTCCATGTTCTTGGTTTGGTCAATCTATCTATTCAATTTGATACTTTTATTACAAATATTGATGTGCATATTGCTGAATACTTATGTAAAGATATGATCATAGGAATGGACTACATTAATAAATATAATCTGAATATAAACGTTAAGAAACAAATCGTTACTATTGAATTAGATAATCGCCTAATCGTAGTTTCGATTATTGATACCATTAAGTTGTAACGAAAAATATGTGATGATGAGGAATGGATGAATAAGAATAATAATTGAAGTTACTAAGCTCTTGACTTTGCCTTGGCTTCTGTTGATTCCTTCACACTTTCGTTACTTGTCGCTATCACTTGCTCTTGTATTTCAACAATACCACTCTTCTTTAACATACAAAGGTATACACCACTATGTATGTCCCTCACACTTGTATATATCGTTGTTCAATCTTACTCTCACTGTTCACTTTCATCAACTGCTATATTCTTCACTCTTCTCTTTCCTCTTTCTCCTTCACCTTCTCGAGGATAGAGAGCAATGTGAATATATACAGGATGTAATACAACGATTGTACAAGCGTTGACAAAGGACAGTGTATAACGGAACAATTACAATAGTATTAAAAATGAACACTGTATAACGTAACGATTACAATAGCATTGAGAATTAACAAGTATTGAACACTATGAACAGTACTATGTAAGGATACAAGGTTGACATTATACAATGATGATATGGAGTAAGAGTAAAATAGCGTAAGGATGATGTCCCATGCTGGTGATCGCATGTTACATTGGCGTATCTCTTGGCACACTAATGAACTATCTTACAAATATTAAGATAAAGATTTACTTTTTAAATCAAAATGGAATTGATTCGATGGTATTAAAGTAAAATTTTTTATTATTAAAAAAAAAGATCTGAATATATTTAGTTGAGAATTGATTCCATGTTTTTAACCCATATGAGTTGAATTATGCAATATATATTCGCGAAAGAAGATTCAGTAGATTGATTTATTAAAGAAAATATCATTCTGTTAAATTTATCAATGGTCTATGCGTGCTTTTATGTATAATCAGATATATGATAGTCGACGTCCTGTCGAAAGAAATACTGTTGCACCTGTAATTATTGTTACAGTGGCTAATTATTTAATTGATTCTGATCCCAGTTTTGATAAGTCAATTTTATATCATATGAATTTTGTCCTTGAAATTAGTTTTAGTAGTAATCATATCAAGAAAATAACGATAGTTCGTTTGTCTTAATAGGCCCTAGGGCATTAATCTTCTCAATAAGGCATAAACAAACAAAAGAAAATAACGATAGTAGTAAATAAAATAAAGCTGTTAGTTTTCTATCGATGTTTTGACCAATTAAATAAAATATTTTAATGTTTAAAGAGGAAAAATAGCATCAATTTTCATTCGTTCTTTTCTTTTTTTCCAATTTCTTTTATTTCAGATATAGTTAATCATTTCATTCATTTGTTGTCTTTAGTAACATCATGGATTTAATCCATTCTTCTCTCTTCCTTTTATCATATCATCGACTCTTAGCATACTTGTTTAGAAATATATTAGAACTTTGCTTTTTTTAGATGGATTTGGAACAAACTGATTCACCACAAGAAAATATTCGTTCGTCTTATCCAGTAAATATATATGTCAAATATTTGTAAAATAAATTTCATTTTTTATTTAGACATCTACACAATCAACTGATGATGGTAAAATTCCAGTACGATATTATCAAAAACGAAAATCGAGTGGAGTAAATATATCTATCTTACATATTTTTGAAATAAACTGCATTTTATTAGGGTTCATCTTATGGACCATAAACAACATCTTATTCCTCAATGTTAAAATCTCGTCAAGATGCTGCAAAAGCACCAAAGGTAAATAAATATACGATTAATTTTTAAATAATTTTATATTTAGGTTTAGGTTCCACCAAGTAAAATGGGTGATAGTAATGTACCATTATATAAACGGATAAATAATTTATCTAAAACTTTTTAAAATTGATTTTTATTTTATTTAGATTGGTGCTTTAATATTTTTATGTTTAACTCGACCTTTTCATTTTCTTTACATTCATGTCTATAAAAATCCAATTCCTTGGGCAATTCTAATAGGTTTTATTTTCGTATTCATATATTGTGGAACGATAGCTTTTATAATGAAGTATGTCGATAAGTAAAATTATTAAAACTATGCTTATTTCTTTTGTCTTGTTTTTTTAGGTCCAAAAGGAAGACAACCAATGGGTTTTTAAATCAAAAACATTTTTTTTTTGGTGAAAAAATTTTTTTTAACAAACAAAATTTTTTTTGCCAACGAAAATTGTTTTTTTTTGATGAACAAGAACTTCTTTTGATGAATAAAAACATTTATTTTACATCTAATATTCTATATTTATGTATCTAGAGTATGATTTAGTTACGTCGATTTCTTTTTCAGGCTTAAAATAATTTTTTTCAATCGGGCAAGTTCTCGTCAAAGGTTCACAAGAACACAAAACACATTATTCTTTTGCATGTATTGTATTGCTTAGTTAGTCATTCTTTTGGTTCAATCTAATAGAATCTGAAATTTGATAGTAAAATAAATTGCATCTTTTAAACAGAGGTGCAGAATCTACCCCTGTGCGCGAACGCGCGTTAGGGAAAATTTTTGGAAAACTATTGCGTCCAAAGACGGTTTTTCGAGAAATTATTGCGTTTGGCGAAGTTTTTGGAAACTATTAGCTCTGACAAAATTCTTTGAAAGATTTCCCCATTCAGGGAAATTTTTCCTTTTTACGGCAGATTCTGCAGCTCTGCTTTTAAATGATATTATTATAACCGAAAAATTGTAAAATTTTTCAATGAAACTTATTTCCGATGTCTTTCTTGACTGTCAAATTTCTGAAATATTTGCTCTTCATCCTTATCGATTGCTGGAAGCAAAATTTTCTTTTTATTCACTTTTTTTTCTCTACATTAGTTTTACTCTTGTATGATATAATTACCATTGATCATCGTTGCTCTACTTCGACTTTATTTTGTCTTGGATGTGTCTCTTCTCCTTTTCCAAAAACAAAATCGATATTTAAGGAAAAAATAGGGGTACTCCTGCGCTTTAGTCACACCATCAATGATATATATATGAACAGAACGAGAAAAAAAATCTATTGGTAAGCGCATAACCAGCAAGTAAAAGGAAGAAAATAAAACATATAGATGTTAGATAAGAACGAAAGACATTTATTAAGAAAAAAAAATACAATTATTGAAGAGGATAATTTTCAGAAATTTGTAAAATTAAATTTTTTAACGGTTTATCGCCGAAATCCTAACGCCAAACGAATTCTTCTAAACATGTTGGTAATAAGGATCTTTGAATTCCATTTTGTTTTTTTTGTTTACGTTTTAAACGCATCCAGATGTTTTCTATATTTTGGGTGTGAGTATGAGTTACGGGATCAACGAAATGAAGGAAGTGGTTAACTGTTTTATGTGTAAAATCGGGATTGTTTCCTAAACCTGTATACGCTCGCCATTCATCTGAATGAATGGTCATGCCTACAAAAAATCTGTTGTTGAGGTAAGCATATGTAATTTTCTGGTGTTTATATTGTCGATATCTTCGATATTTATATTAATATCCATTGGTAATACGATTTTATAGGAAATTAGAACTGAGAAATTTATGATAGAAGTGCAGTGACAGCACCAGATTTATATATGAATATTTTTTTAGGTCAAATTTAATTTCTTTCGAAAAATCCACTTATTATTTTATTATTGATAGAAATTATAATTTATGCGCTATCAATATTCGACTCTTTTTTTATTCATCTTGCTTCTATTACATCAAAGAGTTATATTATTTTAATAAAAAAGTTCATCTTAATTGATAGAGCGATATATCTTTCATAAAACATCTATAAACAGTGTTCTTTGATGACATCTATACGTTTTATTTTCTTCCTTTTATTTGCTGGTTATGCGCTAACCGGCTCATTTTCAAAAGAAATACAATTTTTTTCTATATATAATTAGCACTAAATCACTTGGAAAACGAATTTGTTGAATCATTTACTTGTCTAACTATTGATCATCGTTATAGCTATTTAATTCTATCACAGCTATCTAAAGATCTAGCAGCTGTTTAAACTGGCCGTAGCTATTGGATGATTTACACAGCTATTTTGTCATTCACATGGCTATCTCAATCTATATCAGTTATCTGAAGATCTTATGACTATTTAAACTTTCCATAGCTATTTAATGATTTACATAGCTATTTAAACTTTTACTTGACTATTTAATGCTATTACAACTATTTAAAGATTTTGTAGCTGTTTAAATTTGCCATAGCTATTTAATGATTTACATAGCTATTGAATCATTCATATGGCAATCTAATTCTTTCATAGCAATCTAAAGATCTTGTAGCTATTTAAATTTGCCATAGCTATTTAATGATTTACACAGCTATTCAATCATCCACATGGCAATCTAATTCTTTCACAGCAATCTAAAGATTTAGTAGCTAATTAAATTTGCCATAGCTATTTAATCATTCACATGATTATTTAATAGTTTTTATGAGAATTGAAATATTTTTATGTGTGATATGTATACATAAAATATATATGTGAATTAAAAACTTTTCACGTGTATCTGATTACAAAATAACATCGATTCGTCGTAAAGTTATTTTTTCTAAAATTATTCGGTACAGCCAAGTCTTGCAAAGATATCGGATGTTTTGGTAAGACAGTTAATCTATTGCGTTAGAAAGTTGATCTATGTATACCAAATATCGGTATTGATTCAGCAGTACCATTTGTTTGTCTGTAAACATATGATCAAAAAAAAGATAATCTAAATATTCAATCTACATATTCTGATACGAAGTCATTATATATATTTGGGTGATTAGTTTTGAGAAGTCGTTATGTACTTCTTGTCTCATTTGTTTTACAGCTTTGCTGACAAATACCGAATGTTTAACATTATTGTGATTATGTTGTCTTTTTATTTTTTGTGTCATCTCGTTTTTTATCGTTATAGAGGACGAACGATGGCGATTAATGCAAACCCATTTGGTTGTAGCATATGTCTTGCTTTTCTGAAACCGACAGAAGTTTTCTTCAAAAAATATTACTTTCGAACCCTTCTGAATATGAACGACAGAACACATAGGTATCAGGTTTTGTACTTCAACGAAATACAAACTTTTTAGGAATAGAACAAATGATAATTAAGTTGATTAATTAAATAGCTATCGATATTAAAATTGACTTTTTAATACGATGTCGAAGAAAAATATCGAGTAAATTTGATTTAATATTTTTTAATCAACGTCATTACAAATATTCAATACTGATTATCCTTTGAGATGAATTGATAGACATAATGATGTTCATCTCTAGGAGAACTCTACCAACACATGATAATCTCTTTTTAAAAACATTATCGATTGGTCTTTGGATAATTCAAATGATTCATCGTTCTGTATCATTTCTGAAAGAAAAAGTTTATTGAAATAATTTATAATATTACATGATTATTTTAATAACAAAAAATTATTTAATTCTTGTGCCACTAGATAATTGAATATTTATTTATATGATAAATAAAACTATTTAAAAAAAAAAGATCACAAAAACATATTCTTTTTTTTATTATCAGTTATTTGTTGTAGAAATAGTATTGGTAATTGTTGAAGTGGTATCGCCAGTTGTGGTGATTGATGTTTCTGATGAACTTTGAAGATGGTTTTCATATTCTTCAGGTGAAATGTTAAATTCCTTTAAAAAATCAGTCATCATTTTATATTTTTCTGATTCTGTCATCTGGTATATGATCTTTAGTAAATAGCATACGAGGTCTACCGTGTCTTCTTTGCTTTTGTGATATATGAGTTCCAATTTGACAGTTAGTCAAAAAAACAAAAATTCTCTTTACATTCTCTGCATTCACTCCAGGAATCTGAATAAGAATAATGAAATTATAATACAAATATTAGTATTACCATTCATAAAAATGAATGTCTTACACGTAAGATTTGACAAAGTCGACTACCTGTTATTGTTTGTTTTTTATATAATAATATTTTTTTTATAGTCGCATCAGTTGTAGAACCATTAAACGGATCAATAGATGACGATAGAGATGAAAAACCGCTATAATGACTAACAACACTTCTACTTGTATTATTAACAATAGAATGATAAGGATGACAATTATCTCGTTCAACATGTTGTTCTGACGTATTTATTCGTTGTGATGCAGATGGACCAACATTCACTCCTTGCGATGGTGGAATAGTTATTAGTGGAAATCCATACAGAAGTTTTTTCGTATCGACATAAAACTTCATTAATTCTACTGTCGTTAATGCCACTTCAGGTTGAATAATAAGATAATCGTTCATACTTTCTCTTGCTATACTAGCAACTCTTTGTATCGATTCAGCTGCTATATCATCGAGCACTAAATATTGCAATTGTGGCTCAGCCTATTTAAACGAAATAAGATCACAGAAATGAACAATTAAATCATTCAACCTTCAGAACATAAGTACAAGCTTGATGAAGAAGATGTACTAAACCACAGATTCGATATAAATGGTCGCGTGATTTTGAGAATAGTGTGCATAGAACATCTTGATAACCTTGAAAACCAATGACCATATTATTGTATTCATCATGTGTATGCGTAAGAATATCATTCGCTGCTTGAGACATTTTTAACGTTAAAGTTTGATTGTCATGCATTAGATATATAAAGTACATAATGTGACTTAAACTAGGATAAGCAGATGGTTGTACATATAATTCGCCATTCGTTGCATCTGTATCACGTTTACTACGTTTATGCACATCTTCCGGAGAGATACGTGCAGAAAATATGAATCTATTAATATACATTTTTTCATTACACAGTACTAGAGATAATTCAATAGATGTTTTACCTAGCAAACAATCCGTCTGCACCTAATTGATTATTTTCTTCCTTCAAAATATTTATAATTGCACTAGGATGAGCAGCTGCTACGATAGATAGCCATGGATTTTCACATTTAATATCACCTTTTACTAATTGTCTAAAATATGACTTGGGTCCATTCCAAAGAGTATTTAATACTGAACGATGATAAACTGCTTTATCTGCACGATATAGGCCGAATGATGATGCAAATGTATTAAATTCATCAAATGCTCTAAAAAAAAATTATAACTTTCAGAAAATATTTTCTCTTATTAAATAGGATAAATCATAAGCAAAATAAACTTAGACTATTGCAGAATGTTCAACGTCTATATTAATCATACTGAATAATTGATCTCTTTTTCTCTAATTCGTGTAATAAACTTTCGATGGTCACTGAACCATTTATTCGACTATCTTCAATTTTTATCTGCAGATATTCTTCTACTTCTCTAGTTGCTCTTTCTATTAAGCCAATAGCTGTTGATTTATTTGATCCTAATAAAATTGAAAATAAAGATTATTCAATTTTTTCTTTCGAATATAGTACCAGGATAACCAATAATGACACCATAAAAAACTAATGGAATGTCCCAGTCAAGATCTATATTCAAAAGTGTTCTTGAGCACCAATGCGCAATACCTGACAGTACAACAACCAACAAATGCATCATTGGAACTTTTTTTAGATTAATAATATTTTCCAATACAACTCTGATATTATACGGAAATATTTCATTATTTGGTGTCAATTTGGTACATTCATACATGGTTGAACGACATTTGTGATGAGACATTTTCCTATTGATTAAACAACTTGCAATAAATATGAAAATATTTAACGATCTTTACTTAATTTTAATTTTTCAATTTCCTGTAATTGATTCTTTTTCTTTTAAGATCTTTTTTTTTCTATATCGATATTTGTCACTGGTACGTCGATACAGTAAATTTAAATACAAACTAATTAAATTTATTATTTTAATCAATGAATACTAATCTACAATTGAAAATCATTTATTTATTTCAATAACATTCTATTTATCATAGATCGAATAGATAATAACTACATTCAAACTTTCCATTTAATCAACAAGAAACAAACACAGTTCAATAAAAGAAAAAAAAATCAAATAATTGTTCCATCAACATTTCTATTAAATCAATAAATTTGAATTATAGATTGTTCAGATACATTTATTGAGACATACTCTACATAAACAAGATATTTTTCTAATTATTTATGTTTCTACAACAGAATTTCTTACCATTGAAGTGATTTATTTTACCTCTTCTTATTCAAATATTTTGATCAAGTACCATATCCGGTATTTCATCGATCTATATATTAAATAATCTTTACAAATAGTTCTATCAAATACCGATATACTTTTTTATTCCATAACATGATGTTGATAGCACCTGTTTCATCCTTTATCTTTAACAAACGTCTACGGATTGTCGTATCATTGTTTTCAGACGTTGTTGTAAAGATACCTCTATCCATTATAATTTGTCCTTCAACATCTACAATATGTGTAAAGATATTGTTTGAATATATAATTGCATATCGACGGAAAAAATTTCTCACTACATAACATACCAACGTATGCACCGTGTAATAACTGACTAACACTAATGATTGCTTTTTTCATTATTTTAACTGATGGATTAAAATCATTAGATTCATATAGTTCAACATGACTATTTTCAAATAACCGGATTTCATACATTGAATTCGTTGTTCGATATCTTTCATCTGCTTTTCGAACTTGGCCATTTTCGATTATTATTTTCTAAAATAAATAGTATTAAAAAAAAAATCTTTTTAGATTCTAACTTGATTTATATTCATCAAATTGTAAAGACGATCAACTTGTTCATCAAATGCAATTACTTTAATTTCTTCGTACATATCACATACAATTCCATCAAACATCTTACTATTTGCACCGAATTGACGTATAAGACTTTTGTAAAGAACTTTGCATCGAATTAGAGTACTGCAACCCGCGGGTCGGGTACCCGTACCCGTACGGGTGCGGGTACCCGTACCTGGGTACGGGTATGACATTAACGGGTACGGGTAGGGTACGGGTGCGGAATTAACGGGTACGGG